AAAATCAAATAACCCTATTAAAAAGTGGGCAAAGGACTTGAACAGAAACTTTTCTAAAGAAGACAGAAGAATGGCCAACAAACATATGAAAAAAATGCTCATCGTGGCATTATTTCTATTTACTTTTTTATTTTTTATTTTTTGTAGCTTGAGGTGCCGTGTGATCATGACGTTGCTTTTAAATGCTCACAGTTTTATTTTGATGAATGAAAAATCGCAAAAGTCCTATCACGGCTGTCGGCTAAAGTGGACGCTCACACAGAAGCGGTCGAGAGGGAATTTAGTCGCCCTCATTCCGACGGCCGGATCTGCCCGGAGTCTTGGGACGAGAACCCCGGCGAGGGCCGGAGGAATCCTTGGACCGCCGGCGTGACTCTCCGACCACAGGGCCGCCGGAGGGACCCTCGGGACTCAGCCCGCGACCCGGGAAACCATTCTACAGGCCGCCACGCTTGGGGAGCCGCGCTTGGCCCCCGCCATGCAGGAGGGAACGGAGGTTTCCGGAACAATCTGGAACCTTCTAAACGCCCCGCGTCTGTTTAACGCCAGAGAGACACCAGCCCACAGAAATGAATGCCCAAAACGGGGCTTGGGAATTCCGAGCCGGGTGGCATTCCAGGGGCAATGAGGACACACAGTGTCCCTACACACCTGTGGATGGCTTTTCCTCCAAAGGAGACTAGACTTAACGGAAATCCCCAAAAGAGAAATCTCTCTTTTTACTCCAGATTTATTACATCATTTTTTAAAAAGCAGGGAAAGGAGGAGACCTTTTTTTTTTTTTTAATGTGTCTGCTTGGAGATCCGAAATGTGAACTCATCATACTAAACAACTGCTCTTTTCCTCCCTCTTAGCGCTAAGGAAAGAGGGAGGTCATAGATAAGCCTGGTTTTTTATCAAGATGTCTTTAGAAGAAACACGAGTGGTACCATTAAAGCATTCTATTTAGCTCATGCACTATTTTCAACTACCCCGTTTACCCGAAAACAAGACCCGCCCATAAAACAAGCCCCAGCAGGATTTCTAAGCATGTGCACAACAGAAGCCCTACCCCGAAAATAAGCCCCAGTGATGGGCGTGGCTGCCCAGCGCATCTGCACAACCCATGCGTGTCGTGGCAGAGCGGGAAAGAACACGAGCAGCCCTTCTCATCCGCCCCGTGAAAGCTCTAGTGCTCCACAGGAGAGATCGGGGCCAGTGGTTCTAAAGGAAACAGAGTCGCAAGACATTCAGGATGGGATTCGGGGTTTGGAGAGTGAGGATGATGTTCCAGAAGAAGACGACTTCCTTCTAATTGAATCAATGTCCATCAGGGGTCCTCAAGCTTTTTAAACAGAGGGTCCAGTTCACCGTCCCTCAGACCGTTGGAGGGCCAGACTCTAGTTTTGTTTTGTTTTTTTTTTTAAAACTATGAACAAATTCCTATGCACACACTGCACACGTCTTATTTTGAAGTGCAAAAAACAAACGGGCAGAAACACCCACAAGTGGCCCACGGGTTGTGGTTTGAGGACGCATGATAGATGGTTGTACCATACTTAAAAAAAAAAAAATAACACACACACCCCTAAGAATAAGCCCTAGGGTGTCTTCTGGGGGGAAAAATAAATACAAGACCCCGTCTTATTTCCGGGGAAACACGGTGATAAAATAGAGCCTAACGCAGCCCGAGGGGAGGAAGGGCCGTCTGCCGAGACTAGCGGTGTTCCCAGGCCGGGGTTCCGGCAACGAGGGAATCACAGCTCAGACACACACGCCTGCCCACCTGGGCCACGAACCAGGGTCGCTTCTCTGCTACCCGGAAGAAGAGCCTGTCACCCTCTGTCCTTTCTTCGGGGCTTGCTCAGCAAGCTCTGGCAAAGTCTTTAAAAGCAGCAGCAGCAGCAAGCCCCATGCAGAGCTGCTCACACGCACAAGATATACCTGCCGCCATCCTTTGAGCTGGGGGCGGCCGCCTCCGGGACCCGGGCCCCCGAGTGGGTCTGGATGTCCCCGCGGGGACCGGCGGGGACTCCGTCTCGGGGCCCCCGAGGCCCCGGCTTGCCGATGCTGAGCCGCTGCCACCTCTGCTGGTCTATCTCTGTCACCGGCCCGAAGTGCACGAACTTCTGCCCGGGGCCCGGCGCTCTCCTGGGAGCCCTGGCTCTGCGGCCGGCAAAGTCGTCTCGGGCGGCGGTCTCTGCCTTGATGTCCGTGGCAGGCTCGGGGGCAGGGGCGGGAGGGCCGTCTCCGTCCCTAGTCAGAGCCAGAAACAAGTCCCAAGATTGCTGAGGCAATCACCAATCCGTAAGAGGCTTTCTTTTTTTCTCCAAAAAAAAAAAAAAACTAGAGAGAGTTGGCCTTCCCTATGTGTGGTTTCAACATCTGTGGCTTCACCTAACTTCAGATTAAAAATATATATATATATATATACATATAATACACACACACACATATATGTATATATATATTTGGGGTAAAAAAATTCCTGCAAAGTTTCAAAGAGCAAAAGTTGCATTTGCCCCATGCTGAGTGCTGTGCTGAATCCAGGGCAATGAAGTGATGTACGGGCATTGTATTAGGTATTGTAAGTAACCCTAGAGATGATTTAAAGTATATGGGAGGGCCGGGCGCGGTGGCTCACGCCTATCATCCCAGCGCTCTGGGAGGCCGAGGCGGGAGGATCGCTCTCTAGGTCAGGAGTTCGAGACCAGCCCGAGCAAGAGCGAGACCCCTGTCTCTACTAAAAAATAGAAAGAAATTAATTAGCCAACTAATACATATACAGAAATAAATGAGCCGGGCATGCTGGTCCGAGCCTGTAGTCCCAGCTACTCGGGAGGAGGCTGAGGCAGGAGGATATCGCTTGAGCCCAGGAGTTTGAGGTTGCTGTGAGCTAGGTTGACCCCATGGCACTCTAGCCCGGGCAACAGAGTGAAACTCTTGTCTTAAAAAATAATAATAATAATAAAGTATTATTTATTATTAATGGGAGAAAGTGCAAATGTTATATGCAAAAACTGCACCGTTTTATATTAAAGGACTTAAGCATCTGAGAATTTCGGTATCCAAGGGGGTTCCTGGAACCAATAACTCATGGACACCAAGGGACGACCATGTGTGAAAAATACTTCTGTGGACAGAGCAGAAGAGCCTCTGCATATTCACTTAATCAAGCGAAGCAGTGAGCATCGTCCCACCGAGAAATGATCATCACCTTGTCTGTAATTTTCTCTAGCTTTCAAAGCTCGACTTTAAAAAAAAAAAATGTTAATCGTTCCGCTCTACCTAAGATCTTCTTATGCCGTCTGTTACGAGGCAATCATTAAAAAAAAAAAAAAATTCTTTTTTTTTTTAAAAATCTGGTTTAAATTCCTGACAGTGAGCATGCCTATCAAAATAAACAACCCTCCCTAGCGCGTTGGGGCTGGGTTAAAGGAGGATGATCTCTGTCCGCGTGGCTTGCGACTTTCTGCATAGCTACGTTCATCTCACGCTGGACATGCTGTTTTTTTTATTTTTTTTTTTTTAGAAAGCTCTGCGATTTGAGAAATCACTCCTGCAGCCGGGACGATAAAAAAACGATACGATGGGATGAGCGTTCGGGTCTTTGGAAATCAGATAATGCCACTGCCGGGGAGGACGGCCGGGCCGAAAGGTGACGCACCTGCTCCCTTCCGACACCTTCAGTCTCTCCCAGGTCTCCATGTCCGCCTGGGTTATCCTGGCAGGGACCACAAAGCTCAGAGGGTCTCTGAGAGGGGCCGGTCGGCGGCCCTGGACCCTCCGCTGGGCCAGGTCATCCTTGCACAGATCCGGCACCTTCCTGAGTCCCTCTTCCACGGGGCCGCGCTCCTGGGCCCTCGTGACTCGGGGCTCCGTGGCCTTCGCCTCCTCCGTCGGGCCCTGGCTCCTGTCGGTGTGATCCACGGCCCCACCCCGGCATGATCGGGGGGAAAAAATCAGGTTCCAGGAAGGGGGAGCAGACAGACAGAATGTCTCTCTCTCCTCTCTCTCTCCTGTCTCTCTCGCTCTTCCTGTCTCTCTGTCTCTCCCTCTCTCTCCCTGTTCTCTCTCTCCTCTCTTTCCCCCTGTCTCTCTTCTCTCTTCCCTTCTTCTTTCCTCACACACCACCACTCCGGGCACACTCTTATGTTCTCACACCTCTTATGTTCCCGGCTCCTCTTTTCGGGGACTCCCTTTGACCGCTGCTCGCTGCCCCCCGGCTGCAGCGCCTGCTTCCCGGGGAACGGCCCGTACAGGAGCTGGCGCAGGGGCACCGCGGGCCTGGCCCGGCTCTCCCGGGCCCTCCTGACCGCGAAGTCGTCCCTCTCCGGGTCGGGCAGGCGGCGCGGGGCTTCCTCCTCTGGCTCCGGACCGGGGCCGGGCTGGGACGCCGGGACAGGGCTTCCCTCCCGGGCGAGGCTGACGGCGCCCACAGCCTCTTTCTCTTCGCTGGATTGTTTTTTCGACGGACAGAGCAAAAATTAAACGGGACCGTGCACGCGACCGGACCACAGACAGTCACCACACACCCCAGTCTCCACACGGGGGGCAGGACGTCGTTAGTGAAAGAAGAGTCCTCTCAATCCCCGTTAGTGCCGACAACACCGGTTTATTATTTCAGTCCAGGGCTGCAGCGTGAGCAGTTAGCGTGGGTTTCTAAATTGCTCGGTTTAGCCAGACACCAGCCATACGAAAAAAAAAAAAAGAAAACCACATCGCTTTTAATTGCA